TTTTCTACTCTTATTGCATAAAAATATGATGAGTATATTATTAAAATATGACAATATATCTTTACCGTATCATTGGTTATAAAAATGTTCAAATCATTCATGTTCATCTTTGATCTTTCAAAATCATTGGTTATAACAATGTTCAAATCATTGATGTTCATCATTGATCTTTCAAAATCATTGGTTATAAAAATGCTCAAATCACTGATGTTCATCATTGATCTTTCAAAATCATTGGTTATAACAATGTTTAAATCATTGATGTTCATCATTGATCTTTCAAAATCATTGGCTATAACAATGCTCAAATCACTGATGTTCATCATTGATCTTTCAAAATCATTGGCTATAACAATGTTTAAATCATTGATGTTCATCACTGATCTTTCAAAATCATTGGTTATAGAAATGTTCAAATCATTGATGTTCATCATTGATCTTTCAAAATCTTTGGTTATGAAAATTTTCAAATCATTGATGTTCATCATTGATCTTTCAAAATCATTGGCAATAAAAATGTTCAAATCATTGATGATTATCATTGATCTTTCAAAATCATTGGTTAGAAAAATGTTTAAACTCTGCTCAAACATACCTAACCTTCATAAAAAACATCTTTTTATAAAAATCAAACTGCATTTTTTTAAAAGTATTGATTAGTTTATTAGACCTGTGGCTCCTGCCGAGGAGCTGTATTCCGGGAGACGCAGAGGCTGTATTACCATTTGAGATCGAATACTCTAATGAAAATGAGCTTTTTTCCAAACAGACGTAAAAAAAGACGAAATATCTAACTCATATTAGAAGTAAATAAGGAAAATGAGAGTAAAATAATTAGAAACCGAAAATTTTCAAAGATTGTAATTTTTAACAGATATGTTTTTCAAAATTGCCGTATTGTATGGTAATAACATTTCCGGTAAGAGAAACATAATTCTGATCAATCACGCCAAAATACACGGTATTTAAATCATTTATTTGGTAATTTTTGTTTTGGTATGTTTTGTTTGTTTTGTTTACCGGAAATTCTGGTATTCAAAATTAAAATTATTATTATCACACATTTGGTAAAAAATACCAAACCGTAAAGTTAAAGCATATTTTAATGTTTACTGTTTTCGCTTCGGTAAAAATTTCGGAGCTTTTTGGTGTTCGCATAGAGCTAGAAATAAGATAAATTTTGCCATATTATGGGAGTTTTAAACAGACGATTGTTTAAATTTTTTATCTCAGTGTAGTTATTCATGGGCTAAGGCATAGAGAGCCGTCAAATTTATTTTCCATAACTACAAATGATTACCACAATAAAATGCATATAAATCCACTAATAAAAGTCACAATTAACATATGAATTCCAGAATAAAATTTGCATAAATTTATTTCCATGTCATTTCCTATCTCATGCATTACACTGCTCCAAAAATCTCTTTTGTGAATGCATCCTTAAATTTGCATTTATTTTTAATATAATATTTGTCATAAATAAGTGGCGAATGGAAAAACTCTTTCGACATTTGTATGACATTTATTGGATTCGGAAAAGAGTTCAATTTACGAATTTTTGTTTATTACTTCTCTCAGGTTTACTATTTAAAACTTTCTACAGTTTTATTGAAAAATGAATTTATTGATCAAGCGTAGTTCACACGAAAATGACATTTTCAACATTCTGAGGAAAATGCAAATGGATTGGCGCACTGTTTTGCTAGATAATATAAAACAATTTTTAAATTGCCTAAAATATAGGAAAACAATTTGAAATAAATGAACAAAAATCTACGTTCACGTGCAAAGCCAACTTAATGAGTAAAGTTTAAAATGCCATGTAGCATGTTAGTTCAGTTTTATATTTTAGAAGAGTTCAATTTTGAAGGACATTTCTTCATAGACGCTAATTCCTTGTTTACTTATTTTTCTGTTATTTAAATATAAGTATTGCTGTTTGAATACTTTTACTATTTTTTTTATCATTTCTTAAGCTTAAAAACATACCCGACTATTCTGTTTTAACGTAAATGTACAATGTAAAAAATTCCGAATCAAATTACGGTATCAAGTATCGGCACTTCTTTCGTAAAAATCATTTTATCGTAAAATCAATTTTTTCTGTGAAATATAATACCGTAACTTTTATAGTAATATTTATTTAATTAAAGTTGCGTGGTTTTACTGTAATTATTACTGTAAAAATTTCTGTAAATCAGATGTTTTGTTCCTTAACATATTCCGGTAAAATGAATTTTACATTAGAAACCGATAATTTATTTATCGATTAAGCGTAACTCACACGAAAATGACCTTTTCAAAAGCCTGAAGAAAATGCAAATGAATTTGTTTACTGTTTTGATAGATATTATAAAATAATTTCAAATTGCTTAAAATATATAAGAACAATTCAAAATAAATATATTAAAACAATTTAAAATAAATATAGGAAAACAATTTAAAATAAATAAACGGAAATCTAAATTCACGTGGGAAGCTAATTTTATGAGTAAAGTTTTATGTATCCTGCAGCAATGTCTGTTCAGTTTTATATTTTTGAATAATGCAATTTTGAAGGACATTTTTTAATAGACGCTAATTCCTTTCTGTTATTTAAATATAAATATTGTTGTTATAACATTTTTTATTATTTCTTCAGTTTAAAACCATACCGGACAATTCCGTTTTAGCATAACTATGCAATGAAAAAAATTCCGGATCAAATTACGGTGTAAAGTATCTGTACTTTGGAGTCATCATCCGTGAAAATCCTTTTACCGCAAAATCCATATCATATTATACCGTAATTTTTACAGTAATATTTATTTAATTAGAGTGATTCGATGATTTTATTGTAAAGACTGCAGTATATCATATTTTTATCATATATTTCGGTAAAATGCATTTGACTGTAAAAAGCACCGGCACACTGAATGCCGGTACTCTATCAAATTCTGTTGCGAATTAATATCAAGTTCAAAATGTTACTGAAGATAGTTTTTCTGATAGTAAGTGAGGTACAGATATCAGCTCGATCTGATATATTTGTAAGCTTAGTATAACGAAAACTAAGTTGCTTACTTGAAATATACCCTGATATAGACGGATCTAGGATTAGGAACCATGATTATTTTGGTAGGTCTTGCTAAGTTTTTTTTTTACTTAACTCTAGTGAGAATTAGTTTTTTATGAAGTTCTTTATAAGGCTATTTCGTACTGAAACTTGATTTAGTTCATTTGTCCTTAAAGTTTAATTCAAAATTACAAGAATACAGAGTGATCATTTATAGTCAGCGTTACGGAAAAAAGTTCTGGTAAAATTACCGTAGTGTACGGTAATAATATTTCTGGTAAAAAAACATAATTCTGGTCAACAAAACCAAAATATACGGTATTTAAACGATTCATTTGGTCAATTTTCTGTTCATCGGATAAGGGTTCCTTGAAAATTCTAGTTTCCAAAACTATACTTCTTTATTACCAACATATAGTAGGAAAAACAAAACCGAGAAGTAAAATAAACAAAAAAAAAATGGTTTTTATGCCATGCTAAGTTAAAAAAAAGTATAAGTACATAAAAGTGTTACATTTTACCACATTTACCAAATTTAATCAGATATTATAAAACCATATTTTACTTTTAATTTTACCAAAATCATTACCAAAGCTCTTCGGTAAAATTACTGCGCCTTTTGGTATTCCCATAGATCCAGAAACATGGTAAATTTCACCATATTCTGGTAATTTTGACCACACATTTTTTCTCCTTGCTTAAAAGAAATGCCCATGATTTTAATATATGCCATGCCAAAATTTTTAAATAAATACTTTGAGTAGATATTTTTTAATTTTTTTTTTATTTAAAGTATATTATTTCCTTAGTTAAATAATTTAGAACTTTCTGACACAACTATTAATATGGAATATTTATCGAGCGTATCGAATAAGATGATTGGCATAAAATAAAAATGATCATCAAAAATTTTACAAGTATCCTTTGCAAATTTTTTTGATTAAGGTGAATGCTTTAAGCTTCTATTTTCTTTCAAAATAATTATTTATTCTCTGCGTTACAGCATAAAAAATAAATACCACATGATTTTAACAGATGCCAGATCAAATTATTTCAAAAATTATTTTGCGTCTATTTTTGAATAATTTTTTCTATTTTAAGTATAACATTTCTTTAATAAAATAAAGTCTATTATTTTTTTTCAATAAAGTGAAGTATATTATTTCTTTAGTAAAACTTAACTTTCTTTGATAAATATTATTACGAAATATTAATCGTAAGAAATTATACAAATATCTTAGTTAATATGATCGAATAAGATAATAATTATAGTGAAAAATATTACAAATGTCAGTTGTCAACATTCTCGTATAACATGATTCGAATAAAATTTAAATGTTCATAAAATCACTGCAAATATTCTTAATCTATATGTGTGGAATAAGATGAATACCTTATACTTCTATTTTCAGGAAAATAAATAAATAAATAAAAAAATTAAAATTAAATAGATAAATATCCCATGTGGTATTTGATGCAAATGTAAAATTTCAAAATATCCAAAAAGATTTTGAGCGTTTTTTGAATGACAAAATTTATTTAAAATCTATAAATTTAGTAACAGGATTAACTGATTTAGTAAAGGCTTATACTGAAACTATCTTGTAATAATTATCATAATAAAATTTTTTTAATGTCATTAGTCCATACATACAATTAACATCATATTTGTTTTCAGGGAATTCTTTAAAAATATTACCTCATGATTTTGCCCTTATTTAAATTATGCTAACTCTATCCGAATGTTTCGGTCGATGTAGAAGTTTAAGAAAATGTTGGGATAACCCCCGAAACTCTTTTTGTGGCGTAGGCAGCACACGTGAAAGAATAACGATAATTCTCTTTACTCTCTTTACTAAGAATAGAACAGTTGGATCACGGTGAAAACTTAGGGTTCTAACCACGAGGAATCACCCTCTCACTCACTGTATTACTACAAAAGCCGGTATACTTGGATGGTTTCTTTATTTTAAATGGGATTAGAGTGACCGAGAGCCATCTAACGATTCGAAATACGATACGAATTACAAAACCTGATAACCGTTCTGTGATTTTTAATCATCCATGGTTAAGTTTTGACACTGATATTGAAGGAAATGTTACTAAGATATTGATGCGAAAGTACTCAAACTTTGCTTTATTTCAATGACTGAAATTGTGGTTTTGAAAGTAAAAAAAAATTATTGAGAAGAATTAGAAGAAAACAAACTGGTACATTAACAAAATATATTTTGATAAACTGAGGAACATTTCATAGAAAAGAGTATTATTTGATTTAAAGAAAAATACACCGTCCTTAGAATTTTAGAATAATAAAAGTTTTGATTGCTGAAAATTTTATGTGGCTTGGTGACGTTTGTGTAATGTATAAATTGAATTGGTGATTTAAAGTGAATAATTTGGAACTATGACAGGGAAAAAAGAAAAGCTGGTTGTGTGTCTTAGTGGGGGTGGACCATGGGGTTTTCGTTTACAAGGTGGTGCAGGAACTGGATTACCGTTGGTAGTTTCAAAAGTAAGTTATTTTAATGTATTTACTTTCTGTATATTTATTAGTATTTCATACACGGTAAGAATTTCCGAATCGAATAACGGTAAAAAGTACTGGCACTCAGGGTGCTGGTACGTTTTATCGTAAAATCCACTTTCACCGGAACATGTTACGAATCAAAAAAATCTCATATACCGTAATTTTTACGGCAATAATATCCGCAAAATCTCTGAATCACTCTAAATAAATGACAACTACTGAAAAAATTGCGCTATAATATTTTACTTTAAAAATGAATTTTATGGTATAATGGATTTTACGGATAATGCACCCAAGTTGCATATGCTTTATACTGTAATTTTATCATGAATTTTACACAGTGTGCTTAGTTTTATTTCTTGAATTGATATGAATTTTCTTTTCTAAAAAAAAAGATAAAATGGCACTTTTTATCTGAAATAAAAAAAGTTTTATCTCAAACAAACTTAATATCGTCTAATGTTGAGCTCAGTTAATATGTTTAAGAAATGTTGTCTCTTAAGATTAATTATGAAATCAATAAGGAGAAAAATATGATATACTGTATTTTTTACTGTAATAATTATAGTAAAATCATTGAATTGCTCTAACTGAATAAATATTACTCTAAAAATAACATTATATTATACAGTAAAAATGGATTCTTACGGTTGAGACATCTAAAGTGCCGATAGTTTATACCATAATTTGATCATTTGATCCGGAATTTCTTACAGTGTAGAGGTTTCTTTATGGCTTGATAGTTAAAAATATTGGTTCATGTTAAATATTATTATCGAGAAAATTTGTTGTATTTATAAATGTTGTTGAAAATGGAGAATATACTATCGAATATGTTAATCATGTTAATTCTTCCTGCATCTAATTATACAATACTATGAACCTGATATTTCAAAATGGATGAATTTGTAATGGTTGCAGCAAATCTTCACGACTACACTGTGAAAAATTCTAGATCAAATTGTGGTAAAAAGTACCGGAACCCTGAAAGCAGCATCCGTAAAATCCATTTCATCGCTAAATTCATTTTTACAGCAAATTTTATACCATCATTTTTACTGTAATATTTATTTAATTACGCTGATTCTGTTATTTTGCAATAAATATTACTGTAAAACTTAAGGTACATGAGACTTTTGTTTCATAAAACTTAACTTTAATTTGAACCGGAATTTTTTACAGTGTACACCGAACTTACGATTCAACTTCACATCAATTATTTAAGGTGTTAACAGAAACATCTAAAGCATGTCAAGTTTAATTTTTTTAAAAATAGTCTTGAATAATAATATGTTAAGACCGTGCAGTAATCAAAGTATTAAATTAGTATTGTAATTACTTGATTTGAGGATCATTTTAAAATAATCATTAAAATAGTGATTGATTGCGAAAGACATAAGAACGTTATGATGATTTGAAAATTTTACAGTACTTCCCCTTGAATCACACTGCAAAAAATTCCGAATCAAATTACTGCGCAAAGGTTCATAATCTGCATAATCCATTTATGGTGCATCTTCCGCAAAATCCATTTTATCGTTAAATCACTCATTACCGTAAGATATAGTACAGTAATTTTTCAGTAATATTTATTTAATTAGAGTGATGTACTGATTTTAAGGTAATTATTACTGTTAAAATTACTATATATTAGATTTTTATCCATAGCGTGTTCCGGTAAAAATGGATTTTACGATAAAAAGTACTGATTTGGATTAAGATTCTTAGTAATTTGAAGCGTAATTTTTTTATACTGCAGATTATAATTTAAGGAAGAAAAAAAAGCTAATGTACAGAATTTTTTTGCTTATTCTCGTTTTGGAAATAACACTAGTGCAATAAAATATTTGATTAAACTCGAAAACGTTTTACTCAAATAACTGACAAAATAATAATTATTATTTTGTCAGTTATTTCAGTTTTGTCAACTTTTCACACGCATTTAGCTAAATTTAAAGGGCATAATTTAGGCGATATAAATTAAATAGAAAGTATGGACCATGGCAGAATTTAGGTATGATTTGTAATTGTTTTCATACTCATAACTTGTAATTGTTTTCGTACTTATAGCCTCGTAAGAAACTCGTTATTTAAAAAATCATTTACAAGCAGGTACTACAGTTTTAGAATTAACCATCTATTCATAATTATTAATTTTATTTGAAATGTTTATTTACATTCTAAAAGAGATTAATACTGCATGGCTTTTTCTAATTTGGGATGTTACGTTTGAATTATTTTTAAAAAATACATCACAGAATGGGAAAATACATTTAATCCAAAAAAGACCTGACCGCACTGCATGTTATCCTTATCATAAGAAATTTTTTAATAAGAAAATCACCTCTATGATTTCTTTAAATAAAGATTTTTTTAATCAACTTATTGATTAAAAATAGATGAAGCATGTAATTTTTTTATTTAAGTCATAAAAAGTTATTTCTCCACTTACCATTTCATGCATTTTCATTCGGAAAAATAAACCTCATTTGATCCTCAGTTAACTAAGAAGATTAACTAAGATACGTTAACTAAGAAGATTGAGATGTTTTTGTCGGTTACTAGCATTAAATTAATATAAGTTATAATTATATTTACTTAAAAATTATTATTTAGCCTTTATTTGCCGAATATTTGTATGTAATATATATATTTAATATTATTATCAGTTTTTAATACATTTTTATTTTTAATATTATACGCAATTAAAAATATAAAACTAAAAATACAGTTCATTGTTATGAAGGCATATAGTTAAAATAATGAAGACAAAATGCATATTTAGATTACTAAAGCACTATAAGAATTAACCTTTTGCACTATTTCCAAATAATCTCATTGGTGAAATGTATTGAACTAGTTTTTATATTAACCAAAAATTCAATAATAATATTAAGAGGAATTATAATAATAAAAATTATAACAAGAAGAATCATAAAAATAAGAATTATAATACGAAGAATTATAATAAGAAGAATTATAATAAGAATTATAATCAGAAGAATTATAATAAGAAGAATTATAATAAGAATAAAAAACAAGTTCATGGATGAAATTGCTTTGGTAACCGAGCAGAATTTTTAAAATTATAATTTATTCTAATAGAATTGGAAGTTAAATGTATGGCTGAATACAATAAAAAAATACGGTATCTTTTAACTGAAATTTTTAAAAAAAAATAAAACTTTATATTTATCTGCAAAATACGAAAAGATTCCTATATCACTCGATTACAGCCATGGTGACTCAGGGAATAGAGTGTTCGCCTTCAAGTGAGGTGAACCGGGTTCGAATCCCAGTAATGGCTGGTCAATACGAGTTCCGTACCTGGCTCGCATCGACCACTAAGCGGATTTAAACTACCCTCAGTAGTAGACGGATTATGTGTAAGAGTCCCCTTGCCGTTAGGCTAACCATGGGAGTTTCCGTGATTTTCCTCTCCATATAACGCAAATGCGGGTTAGTTCCATTAAATAGTCCTCCACGAAAGCAAATTTCTCGCAATACTTGATCCAGGATTTCTCTTGTCTTCTGAAGTGCGTTCAAAATTGCAAGGCTACGGAGTTGAACATTAGTAGCCCAAACCCAAAATTGAATAGGTTGTTCAGCAATGGTTATAAAATGAAATAACACTCGATTGAGTGTTATTTTGTTCCCAATGAGGTGAACCTTCCAGTGAGGAAAACCGGGTTCGATTCCCAGAAATGGTTGGTCGAAACGAATTCCGCACCCTGCTCGAACCGACCACAGTGCAGACATAAAATATCCTCAGTGATAGACGAAACATGGGTTACCTGTCGTCAGGTTACCTGTTGGAGGTTTTCGCGGTTTTTCCTTCCATCCAACACAAATCCGGGTTGTTCCATTAAAAAATCCTCCACGCAGGCAAATTTCCTCCAATACTTGATCCAGGAACTTCTTTGTCTTCCGGGTTGAGTTCAACATTACAAGTCTACAGAGTTGAACATTGATAGTCGTATACTGAGAATCGGATTGCCTGTTCAAATAAGTTTATAATATAAAATATAAAAAGAATCACTCGATTTTATATTATTTTCAATGTTTTTAACTAAATTTAAACTGACAAATAAAATAATACATGAAAAACTCTGTATCTAGAGTGGGTAATGTAAGATTTCTCTTTGAAGAGATTGATTAACTGTGAACTTGATTAATATAATTCAAATTTCCGAATTAACTAAAAAATTTAATAGCTTTTTATATCATTTATGTAGATATCTTTAGAGAGCTGATTTAGATGAAATATTTTTTAACGAGTCAGCAGCATATTGAACCAAAAATACTCCAGTAGTTAGAGTTTAATAGTTAACTAATCGAAAATTGTAATCAAAATTTTAACGGAAACTATATTAGTTGTATTATTACTATAACTATATTAGTTGTTATAAATTGTTGTTGTTGTTGTTGGCGTTGAAACTATATTAGTTGTTATTATATTAAAAGTTGTTAAATTTTTAAATTAATCGTTTGAAACTTGAAAAAGTTATCGAATACTCAGTAAATAATTTCGGATCAAATTACAATACAAAGTATGGGCTCTTTGGGTACATCATTCAAAAAACCATTCTTATCTTAAAATATTACANATTAAAAGCCTTTTTTCTTTAATATTTACAAAAGTTTGGCCACTTGAAAGTTGACAAACTGAAAAAATGGGTAGACTCGCCCCGGTTTACGGTAGTTATATTAAAAGTTGTTAAATTTTTAAATTAATCGTTTGAAACTTGAAAAAGTTATCGAATACTCAATAAATAATTTCGGATCAAATTGCAATACAAAGTGTTTGCGTACATCATCCAAAAAACCATTTTTATCTTAAAATAATACATTGCGATTTTAACAGAAATATTTATTTATTTCAAGTAATTCTGTCTTACTGTAAATATTGTAAAAATTATCGTATATCAGATTTTTTTGTTCCGGTAAAAATGGTTTTTACGGTAAAAAGTACCGGCATCTTGAGT